TTATACCATAGAAAATATTGAAAATAAGTTAGGGCAAAATGATTACAGAGTTGAGGGCAATAATAGGCAGTATTTGCGCTTTGAGTTGTTAAAGGTTTGATGGAATCCCATTTGTTCTACAACCCTGTGTGTTTGGGATGATGTTGCAGGCGTTGTCTGTTCTATTGCACGACTACTCCGCTGTTGTTGACATCGTTTCCTCTATGCTGTGTTGTCCAGTTTCGTAGGTTCCAAACATGTCCGATACTTTGTCAATGGCAAAACATCAGTACAAACGGTTGGGTGTCGAGCTGGTTAGTGACGCGCTTGGGCGGCCATGCAGGTCCTCGTTGGCATGTTGCGGCTCAATCTGTCACTCCAGTTGATTTCGCATGATTCGTTGTGCGTTGGTTGACGCTGTGAAGCATCAAAGTCGGTTGTTGCTAAGGCCCTAGCGCAAGGCTCCATCTGTTCCTTTGGCCCCGTGATCTTGCCATGTGCAGACGTCTCACGTTCGAACAGCTGGTGCAACTGCTTGTGTTGGTGCTTCTCTTCGCCGCCATCTTCGGCCTGTTTGCTGCAGTCCTTGCATTGGGACACGCTGTTCAGCAGACCATGCAGCAGACGGGACGGGCCATTCAAGGCCGGGCCAGTTTTCTGCCATCTCTGCAGGGATGCCAAAGCCAGACAAGCCGTAAACCTTCAAAGTCAGTCGCCCCAACTCAAAATAAAGGTAATGTCCAGATTTCGAAACCTTGCGGATAGGCGACGGACCCACTAAATCTCAAGATGAAAAGGCTACCCCCGGAACTCGAGGCAGCATTGATGGTGTTGCCCGCTCGATGCAACCAGGTTGCATAGTAGAAGCACATGGAACTGCTGCATGTTTGTTGGCTTAGGGCATGTACTTCGCAAAGCTTCGGTGGCAGCATCGCCTGAACATGTTCGCACAGTTGCTGTTGCATCTCAGGTTATTTCAATTACCACTTTCAGCTACTGCGTCTGGACTGGGTTCCTTCTGTGGCTCTGCTGTGTGGGAGCTTGTGCTGCATCAGCAAGTTGTGAAGCTTTGCCGGGCCTTGCTCGGGTAAAGCTCAAGAAAGTAACTTTGGGTTGTATTCGCATGCGTTTAACTTGGCTGCTTTTTCTAGTCCCAGGTGCTCATCCGAGTGGCTTTCGCCGTCAAGACCGTGCAGTTCGTAGGAAGTCATGCTGTCGTTTGAACCAGTCTCAAGCATGTCACCGGACAGCGCACAATGACGTGCCCTTCAGAGGCTGCAGCCAGCTTGCAAGCACGGTACGTGTCACAAAGACACAAAGACTGCCATCTTGGAGAAAAACAAGTGAAGCTCGGGCTTGTAGCGACTGAGCTATTTCCATCTAGAAACAGCAGGGTTACGGGATTGGGTTGGGTTTTTCTTTGGGGTGCAGACATAGGTCCTTGGATGTGACACACTGAGATGTGCTTGGGTGATGGTATGTGGCGTGAGGGGATGCTTGTTTCTTACCTTATCCCTAAACCTTATTCCTATTATTGTAAAATTATTTAAGAAGACCATTTCCATTTTCAAGGGTTAGGGATTCCGGGTTGGGGAATATGGTTTTTCTATGGGGGTATTGGTGTATGGGGTTGAGGTTGGTTTTTTTCTAT